GCCTTAAAGTAATGTATTAATTAGGATTAAATAGGATTAAATAGGCTCCTATTTAATTTTAGGCTAAAATTTTAGTTTAAATCTTATTTACCTTATTATGCAAATGAAAAATTTCAGCTGGACAATGTGTATTTTATGCGAGATGTATGTATGTTTGATTATTTGTCGATTCTAAAGAATCGAAGGGGGGATATGTGGTGAATTTTCATGTACTGTGCCTTTAAGACGCGTGAGCGCGCCCGTCAGACCGTGAGCGCGCCCGTCAGGCGGACGCGCGCCCTTTTGTTCAGAGTCCAGCTTAACATCACGCTGTGTGGACCTATGTTCCATCTCTCTCGTCAATAAACATGTCCAAAGCTGAAGAATTATCGTCATTTTTCCAGTCCTGTGTTAGCTGAGAGTCAAAAACTCAAAGGAAGAAGCCTTGTGATTTTCCAGCAGCTTACAGGCAGGACGCGCGCTGATTTTCCAGCCACCCACCAGGAGAGAAACCCGGCAGCACCAGCCGAGAGCAGACGGGAGCAGACAAAGAGAGACGGAGGGTCCGAGCAACCGACAAAGCCCAGCAGAACCGRACCGGACCGAGACACGACAAAATGGCGACGAGGATGGGATCTGTAAAGCTTTAAAAGGTTAATATCAGATTAACGGAGGTTTTTCACGGCCGTAATTACTTCTGTTTTATTTGATTAATGCCTTAAGAGGCTCAGAGCGGGTCATGTGCGGGTTTTTGTCGACTGCTAACAGCGTTGGGCTCCAATAATTTCTGTTTTTTGTCGTTGTTTTGTTTTGTATTGTGCGTTGAACCTTGCTAATTTCTTTGTTATTTTAATGAYGTGTTCCCGCCACAGAGATTGTGTGTTCTCTGGGAGTATATGAGTTAAAAGTGCGCGTACTAATGAAGTAAAGTGTGGAGTTGCAACTCTAAGTGTTTATGTTGGCTGCGCCTACCTGGTTAAATTGAAGGGTCGACAAAGAGACGTCTTTGGTCATCCTGTTGGCTACTGGTAGTGAGCGGTATATGAAGCCGTTCAGCCCAGATTCTTTTGTTATTTCRCCTGTATAGGAGTAACGGTTGCAGTTTCTTTTAAGGCCTAAAGTTCTGTGTAATCCCGATGAAAAAGGACAGTGGAGGTAATAAAAAACCTGGGTGGTGGAAGCTTTGTATGAATAATGGTAGTTTAAAGGGGACACGTCAGGGATTTTTTATTGTTGTTTTTTTTTTAAATTTCTGTTCAAACAAGGAGTACAGATCTGTGTGTTTCTGTCTTAAATGTGTGTTTGATGTTAAATGTGGGGTTTTCTTGTTGTTTTTTCTGTTTATTGTTTGTGAATTAACTTGGCGCCATTTGGGCCTGAATTCAAATAGTGGGGGTGCTTCGAAGCTTTTTCTGGCTGAGAGTTCCTTTGTCTTGTCTAAGAAGTGATTTATGACAGTGGGGGTTGTTTTTCTGCTGCTGTGAAAACATATGGACTGCATTAACCTGTTTTTTTTCTCTCTATCTATAGTCTTTTGTTTGGAGCGCCTCCTGCTGCTGGTGAGAGAGACAACTCCTGCTGCAGGACTGAGGGGTGCTGCTCCTATTTTTTGCAAGGCGAGTAATTTTGGTTTTATCCACAAACTAAAAAAGATTAAAAAGGGAGAGAAACAAAGCATTATTTTGGTTTTTTGTCATTTTTTTGAGTGTCAGTGACCATTCAAGATTAAATCCAAACTCAAATTAATAATTACTTTATTG